GGGGGCCGCGGGAATGTCAGGAATTGGGGGCTCTGGGGGTGGTCCCAGGGCTGGGGGGCTGCAGGATCCTCAGGAACTGGGGGATTCTCGGGGGTCCCGCAGCGGGGGGGCCCTGGGGGCGGGGGTCTCACCTGTAGAGCACCACGGTGTCGGACAGGGACCCCACGAGCAGGTCGGGGTGCAGGTTCCCGTCCACGTCCAGCCCCCCCGAGAGCGAGTAGCCAAAGGCCGAGACCCCCACGGCCTCCCCGTCCAGGACCTGGGCAGGGGGCGGCCCTGGCTGAGCCGGGACCCCCCTGGAGACCCCCTGGAGACCCCCCGGGACCCCCCGGACCCCCCTCACCTGCGCCGGGCGGGTGACGATGCCCAGGGCGCTGCCGTGGTAAATGAAAACTTTGCCCGCGCCGTCGAAAGGAGCCCCCACGGCCAAATCTGGGGGGAAATTTGGGGGGATTTGGGGGGCCAGACCCCTCCCCAGGGGTCCCTTGGGGTGCAACAGTGGCAGTGTCCCAGTGGCAGTGGCAGTGGCAGTGGCAGTGTCCCAATGACAGTGTCCCATTGACAGTGACCCAGGTGACACAGTGACAGTGACAGTGTCCCAGTGACAGTGTCCCAGTGACAGTGACAGTGACAGTGACAGTGTCCCAGTGACCCAGGTGACACAGTGTCCCAGTGGCAGGGCGCACCCGTCGCTGTTGAGGTCCAGCAGGGCCAGCGCGTGGCCGAAGGCCGAGCTCAGCTGCTGGCCGCCCAGCACGGCCTCGGCCACCAGGCGGCTGGCGCTGTCGCGCCGCAGGATGACAACGGCGCCCGTGTGGTTGGCGCGGGGCGCGCCCGTGACAAAGCTCAGCTGGTGTCGCCGTGTCACCCCCGGCCCGGAGTCCACCGAGAACCCTGCGGGGACACGGGACAGCCCTGTCACCCTGGGACCGCCCAGGGGACAGCTCTGTCACCCTGAGAGTCCTGCGGGGACAGGGGGACAGCTCTGTCACCCTGAGAGCCCTGCGGGGACACGGGACAGCCCTGTCACCCTGGGACCGCCCAGGGGACACGGGGACAGCCCTGTCACCCTGGGACCGCCCAGGGGACATGGGGACAGCTCTGTCACCCTGGGACTGCCCAAGGGACAGCCCTGTCACCCTGAGAGCCCTGCGGGGACACGGGGACAGCTCTGTCACCCTGAGAGCCCTGCGGGGACACGGGACAGCCTCTGTCACCCTGGGACCGCCCAGGGGACACGGGACAGCCCTGTCACCCTGGGACCCCCCCGGGGACACGGGGACAGCTCTGTCACCCTGGGACCGCCCAGGGGACAGCCCTGTCACCCTGAGAGCCCTGCGGGGACACGGGGACAGCTCTGTCACCCTGAGAGCCCTGCGGGGACACGGGACAGCCCTGTCACCCTGGGACCGCCCAGGGGACACGGGGACAGCCCTGTCACCCTGAGAGCCCTGCGGGGACACGGGGACAGCTCTGTCACCCTGGGACCGCCCAGGGGACACGGGGACAGCTCTGTCACCCTGGGACCGCCCAGGGGACAGCCCTGTCACCCCCCAGAGCCCTGCGGGGACACGGGGACACCACGGGATGGGGATTTTGGAGGAAAATGGCAGAATTTGGGGGTAAATGGCAGATTTTGGGGGGGAAATGGCAGAATTTGGGGGTCAGAGCACCAAAACCCAGAGCAGAGCCCCCTCCCCACATGCAGTGGTTGCCGTGAGCAGCCCCCGAGCACCCCCGAGCCCCCCCGAGCC